ATCTGAATTTTTTCTTCTTCGTTTTTTTTTTTTTTTTTTTAATATTAATATTTTTCCATGTAGACTATTAATTTTGCAAGTACAGGAAATTTACACAGAAGCTGTATGAAATTTTAAAAAATGTGACTTGTCAATTTTTTAACCAAGGCAGATGAAAAACAAAATGAATTAAAATTATGCCACATCATTTGTTTTGAATTCCTGTATAGCTCCTGTGAAGAATTTTCTGTACGTAGATGGTAGCTCATTTTTCAATTACACAAACCCAGCATTGGAAGATAAAGAATTCAAGACCATCAGGATAAAATCTCTACCGCTAACACCAAGAGCACCCAGTCCCTTTATTCCTCATCACATTCCCTTTATATACCAGCTGCTGCAGTGGCACTCGCGTCTGCTTATTCGACCTCATAAACTCAAAACATATATTAAACGTCAATATAAAAATTTATTAACAAATTTAAAAACAAAAGATAGTAACCTTTTCTTCCATAAGGGCTTTCAAGTTCTCAACCTGATCAAACATTATCATCAACCAAAAAGAAAAACAATGCGAACAGCAACAGGGTTTTATGTAAGAATACTTTAAAGTAATTGGTGTTAAAAAAAAAAAAAAACTAACCTATCATGGCTCTCGTCAAATGTTTATATTTTGTCATGTTCAATTCTGTTTAGTCTTAACTTACCAGAAACGTAAGAATAAAAGTTCAAGTTGTTACCACTTTTTCGGGCAGTGATCGGGAAAAAAAACAAAAAACAAAAAAAAAAACAAAACAAAGGTTAGACAATGAACTATGAAGTAGACAATTCTTCCATCACATTATAAAAGCTCCAACCTCTTCCTTCAATTCCCCCAATAAAACACACAAGTCCTCTTCAATGTCAAATCTAGTTTCCTGGTAAGTTGAACTGCAATAATTTTCTCTGCAGTTATCAAATGAATAAATGTTTTTGAAGCACACAAGTTACAAAATAAATAATGACCTATGAGGTTACATAAAATCATCTTCATCCCCCAAAAAGAAATCCAGCAGCTTGTTCTTCATTACCATCAAAAAACTTCAAAGCTTGAATCACTTGTTCTCTTTTAAATCCAAGCTCAACAAGCTTTGTTACCTTCGCTTCAAAATCAGGTCCCTGCATACAAATCACTTTTTTTTTTAGTCAAGTTGATTCAGATTATTCCAGCATTTTATTACTCTTTTTTTTTTGGGCACAGAAGAACTTTCTGAATTCCCAGTAAAAAAGAACAATTCTAGTTCCACGTAACATAATTATAAGTTTAAACACGATTCCAGTTAAAGAAAACTATAACATTTCACCTAGTCCAAGGTGAGAATAAATGAGGCAAAATTAATCAAAATAACAGACGAACTTGGATAAATGTCAAACAAACTAGCAATTGATACCGAATTTGCCACAGTTGAACTAACATAAACATTTCTAACTAAAATCTACCTGTGCAGCATTCCCGCCAGTGCTTCCGGTGGCTGAAGTTAGAAGGTGAACAATTAGTTAGATTCCATTTACAGCAAGCAGAGCAAGAAAATCAGAAGGCAAAAGGTAAATAAACACAACAGCAAAGAATTACAATAATACAGTAATAATACTTATGGAACTCGAACTCCACGGGTTGCCTCCACTATTTTACGTCAAATCAAACAGAAATATAGGCTTCAAAAATTATGCTGAAACAAACTAATTATAAACATAATAAAGCAAGAGATTTCTGAAATATGGAACTAACCAGAAGGTCTTCCTGTTGGGGTATTGATGTTCTCGTTTGCCTGAAAATCAGAAAATAGAGTTGAGATTGTCTGACGGCAGTTTACATCTGCACAAGTAAAATGTGCTCCCTTGGTAAACAAAATAGCTAAAAAAATAAATAAATAAATGTTGACAAACATCTTCTAACAAAGTATATAGAGGTATAAAAATACAAATTATTGATGCCTATTCACCAGATAGCACATAGAGAGAAAATACTGTAAAAGAGCACCTGGGATAAGTACTTATTATTGCTTCGCTAAAAGCTTGTCTGGGAGGTGTTTATAATCACTTTAAATTATAAACAAAAAGAGAAATGAATGGTGATAAGTGGTTAATACTTATAGATCTTGCAAAATGTGGGGATAAAAACTGGGTTTGACCAAAAAGAGTGCTCATATTTTAAACACTTTCCAGACAAGCACCAAGAGTAAGGATCTTCAGTCCCTGATAAATTTAATTTAATTGTTTTAAAACCCACTTGAGGGCGGACCAGTTCTGCAAGTTTGTCCAATAACAAAACTCTTATCTGGTTAAGATTACAGGTCGTAACTACTAGAGTCAAGAACCGCATAAAACCACTGAAAACTGATCTGGCTCCAACATTTTTCACATTCCAGCTAATATTTTATTTTTATTTGGAGCGGCAGTGAGGGAAGAAAAGATTGAAAATAGCTCTTACAAGGGTGACAAAGGATTTTCCCTCACCGGCAACCTACACCACCCCTACACATTTTAGCTCTTCAATCACATTTCTACATAAGCATAAAAGAGCATAGGTAAAAACAAGAAATCAAGAGCATGTGTCGATAATAGTTTGTGCAAAACATTGAAAGATCGATTTTCTATTTTCATCATTCCTCCAAAGATATACAATGTAGTCTTCCTTCATTCAGATAGATAATCTGATTTGATTGGATATTATGATATATTTTGGGTGATATTGAATACTGATGCTGAGGATTTTTTTCATGTATCCTTGTTCAGATTATAACGAAAATAGAACAGAATGATTATAAAAGGAGACAATCTAGTATGCCTAATGTTCACCTAATCCTTCAAATCAGTCCACCAGTGAAACACCAACAAACAGGTTCACTGAACGGATATTGGTGATATAATAAATGGTCCAGGTTTATAAGGTTAGTCCAGCAGAGATGATGAACAAAAAGGCCCAAATTGTATCAATACCATATAAAACAAGGCAAATTTCAACTTGACACAGTTTTTGGTAAGGTTTCATAATGCATTTTGTCCTACTAGGGAAAAGAGTTTATAATGCTCTCTTACGCAGAGAAATCTGCAATTTGGTAATCTCTAGCGAAAACCTTCACCTTAACAATTTGATATTTATGCAAGCCCGTTTCAACTCAAGACGGGCACTGTTTCAATACTAAATTAAAACAAAAAACAAGCCAGACATTATAAAGGCATACACCTCTAGCCAATTATATGCTCATTCTGCATGACACTTGAAAGACAAAAATAACAGAATAAAGAGATGCATAACAGATTGGAAGTAGAAAGCAACGTGAAGAGCAACTTTCTTACTTGTGCTCCAGAGCTAGATGCTTCCTTCATCCTCTCTTCGTCAAATAAATTAGATGGAATGTCCTTTTCTGGAATTTCCAAAAAATATTGAATTAAGATTACGAAAAATCAAATTTAAACAATTGATGCACATTAGGATACTTAATGGTTAGTGTAAAAGTCAATATTGTTAAAAAAAAGATGAACAGATAACAAGATCAACCTGCCAGAAAAGGCACAGAAACCTCTCCTCCACCAACTCTCAAGACATTCTCCTTTAGATCAATTATGCACTGTCAATTGCAGTTATGTAAGCAACTCATTACGAAATCTGAATTCAATCTAATTAAAAGAGCAAATTTAAGTATGAAAAGGCTACCTGGTGCTTGCGGAGCATATCCAGCCCAAAAAGAAACTCCATGTTGGGAGAATCCAGGACCGTGAAGGTACAAGGGTAAAAATTATTCCCAATCTACCATTTTAAAATAATAAACACATCAAAGTAACAGGAATGCCATGTGTAACAGGGCATAAACAGGGGGGAGGGGAAGAAAATGAAAATGGTTTTAAAAAGACTGAAAATGCCATGTGTAACAGGGCATAACAAGGGGAAGGGGGGAGAAAATGAAAATGGTTTTAAAAAGGAAAGAAAATCATCTTTAGTCCATCAAAATGAGATAGCAATGTATTACATGCATACCTTGATGGGAGCAACATGTATCCGACCGATTATCTCAGATTGACCAACTCCTTGAGCAATACCCCTATACCGTGTATCTAAAAGCCTCGACAATCTGAAGGAAAAAATGGTAAACAATTAGGAATAAATATCTATTCAGAAGTACCAGTATCCTGGTTTACTGAAGAATGGATTAATTCCACAATAGGGAGCGGGAGAAAAAGCAGGATCTCATACCCGCAACGCTCGGCACAGCTTTTAGATATAATTGTTGACTGAGCTCCACTATCAACAAAGGCCTTAACAAAGACGAGTCAAATAAATACCTCAATTAAAGCAAGAGCATATAGGATAATAAGGAGCTCACACATGACACAAGGAACTATATAATCAATAATGTACAACATTTCTTAGTTTTAGTGCCCACTCAAAGTGAGTTGACTGTAAATGCAAGAACTTTGTGAAGTCACAAGCTCTCAAAAACCAACCATTGAGCTCTCAGGTAATTCAAGATTCAACACATATACAAGAACTTTGTAAAGTCAGTGTAATAGTGTGCCAGCAGATGGAAGTGTGTTTTAACTATCCGTAAAACAAAAGACCGCCATGCCAATGCTTCGAGTATTTTAGATTGTGTTGATTTCTCTAATGGGAACGCCCGAATCCACCCCAGTATGCCTACAGATATCTTATTCAAGGGCATTTCTGAAATTTAAAAAATTTCAAAGATTCCTCTCAAAGAGTACCAAAGATACCTGCGGCTATAAACTCTCTATCAGCCCTTTCTCCTACTCCATTTCTTCATTTTTTCCCCTTCATCTAATTAAAAGAGGTCAGTTGGTCCTTGGCTGGACTTTGATTACTTGTTATAGTTTGTCACAATCAAAGGTGATGCAGGACCAAACTGAAACAATTAATTGAGACGAAAACAAATCTATAGGGGGAGGGAATTAAAGAAAAGAATGGGGAAGAAGAAGATTCAACAGAAGGAGAAAAAGAAAATAGGAAAAGGGAAATTCACAATAAGCCACCAAAAGTATTATTCAATCATCAACTGAAAAATTACAATGCAAAATAAGTTTAAATAGTAAAACAAACCCTCACAAGATTGGGCCGAGCCCATACAAGTCCAATTCACTAAATAATAGTTCAAGAAAATAAATAAAACTTAACTAGAAAATAAAATAAATAAATACCCGATGTCCTCATCAACTCCCCGAGGTGGGAGAAAACTCGACCCTCTCGAGTGAATATATCACTATAGGCTTTCGTCAATCTCCCAACCATAAACTAAGTGGCTGGGCAAGCGTCTTTCGACGTCCGTAGAAATGTGTCAGTGGAGGTCTAAATCTAGTATCCTCACCAGCCCCCCCGAGTGGACAGAAGGCGATCTGGGCCAAGGAAGATCCGACTGACTCCGATAAAACTCCAATAAATCTGGATCCAGTTGCTGTAGTGACTCTCTAGAGATCCATGTACAGTCAGAATCTGGTCGAGCAACCCAAGGAACAAGGAAGCGCTGAACCTCTTAGTCATTAGTTAACACAGTTTCTTCATCTAAAATAACATCGATTTTATCTTTGTGTGCTGTGAAAGGTGGTAGTGAGGTAGAAGTGGCCAAAGAATCAGGTTCAAAGTGAACAAAGGGAGGTAACAAAGAATCATCTAGGGGAATGAAATGGCCTTTATAAGCAACTAGATCCTCAACATTGAAAATAGAGTGGTAATCAAGGTGTGGTGGAATGTAAACAACATATGCATTTGGACCAATCTGCTTTAAAATTTTAAAAGGACCAGCGCTACGAGCGTACAATTTGGAGGCGGGTCCATGTAGACGCCGCTCTGGCCTAATGCGAACCATAACATAATCTCCAATGTTAAACTCAACATGTCGTTTATACAAATCAACTTGGAGTTTATATTTTGTATTACTGGCTTCAAGTTGTTAATTGATCTCAATATGCAAATCACGAAGATGTTATGCAAATGTTTCAACGCCTGTGGGGACACAGGAATGAGATCTAACGGTTTCCTAGGCTTATACCCATGAACAGCTTCAGATGGACTCATATCTAATGAACGATTTATGAAACTGTTATACGCAATTTGCGCTATAGGAAGGATCAAGTCCCAATTACGAAGATTTTCCCGGACCAGACATTGTAACAAATTACCAAGACTACAATTAACTACTTTAGTTTGACCGTCAGTCTGAGGGCGGTAGGCCGTAGAAAAATTCAATTTGGTACCCATCCTTTGCCACAAAGTTCTCCAAAAATGGGCTAGTGAAACGAACATCCCTATCAGACACAATGGTCTTGGGAAGCCCATACAATTTGACAATCTCATTAAAGAACAATATAGCAACCTTGGACGCATCTGATGTCTTGCTACAGGGGATAAAATGAGCCATTTTTTAGAAACGATCGACAACCACAAAAATATAATCATGTTTCTTTGGGGTGCGTGGAAGTCCTAACATAAATTCATACTAACATCTTGTCAAAGACAATTGGAGACAAGAAGAGGAGTGTAATGTCCTGTGCTTTGCCTCTTCTATTTGGCCAATTGACAATTATTACATGTACTAACAATCTTAGACACATCCTTCTTTAAACTAAGCCAATAGAATTGGCGTTCAACTTCCTATATGGTCTTATCACGCCCAATGTGACCGGCTAAACCTCCTGCATGAATTTCCCACGCTATAAAATCTCGCACTGATGTTCGAGGGATGCACAATTTATTGGCTCTAAAGAGATAACCCTTCTCAAGTCGGAAGCCATCTGTGGTGCCTGATTGTCCCCTTTGTAAATCAAGAAAGATATCTTTAAAATCGGGGCATGACTTGTAATCTTCTTTAAGCCTTTCAAAATCGATGACCTTGACACTCATGATCGACAAAAGGGAGACACGTTGACTTAATGCGTCAGTTGCTTGGTTCTCCACGCCCTTCTTATGTTTTAAAACAAATGAGTAGGCCTGCAAATATTCAATCCAACGATCATGCCTATTAGAGCTTAATCTTTTCTGAGAGTTGAGGTAACGGAGGGCCTCGCAGTCCGAATAAAGGACAAACTCCCGAGGCAACAAATAGTGGTGCCAATGGCGCAAAGCCTGGACCACCACATATAGTCCCTTATCATAAGTTGAGTACCGTTGTTTGGCCTCATTTAACTTCTCACTGAAGTAGGCAACAAGGTGACAATCCTGACTCAAGACTCCGCCTATACCTACCCCAAAGGCATCACATTCAACCTCAAAGACTTTGGAAAAGTCTGGAAGACGCATGACAGAGGCCTCCATCATTCGCTTCTTGACCAACTTAAAGGCCTTAGCCGCTTCTTGTGTCAAAAGAAACTCCCCTTTTTTCATACACTCCGTAATATGCGCCATAATAGTGCTAAACCCCTTGATAAAACGACGATAAAATGTAGCTAACCCGTGAAAGTTCCTGACGTCATGAATAGTTTTAGATACGGGCCAGTCAAGAATCGCCTGAACCTTGGCAGAGTCAGCATATACCCCTATCGAAGAGACAATGAACCCCAGGAAAACGACTGTATCGGTGAAGAAATAGCACTTCTTGACGTTAACATACAGATTAGTTGCACGTAGGGTAGAGCAAACTTGTGTAAGATGATCACGGTGTTGTTCCTTAGTCTTACTATAGATGAGAATATCATCGAAATAGACAACAAGAAACTTACCCATGAAAGGTCGAAGAATCTGTGTCATTACCCGCATAAAGGTACTCTGCGCGTTGCTTAGCCCAAAAGGCATGACCAGCCATTCATAAAGGCCATCTTTATTTTAAAAGCGATCTTCCACTCATCACCTGGGCGAATTCTAATCTGATGGTATCCACTCTTCAAATCAATCTTCCAAAAGATTGTCGCGCCAACCATCATATCTAGCGTATCATCAAGTCTGAGAATGGGAAAACGATACTTCACCGTAATCCTATTGATAGCGCGACTATCCACACACATTCTCCAAGAATCATCTTTTTTTGGCGTCAATAGGATGGGGACAACACACGGGCTTAAACTCTCACGAATGAATTCTTTGTGAAGGAGGTCATCCACTTGTCTTTAGAGTTCAGCATGCTCGGTAGGATTCATCTTATAATGAGGCAAATTTGGAAGGGATGCTCCTAGGACGGAATCTATGGCATGTTGAATAGCCCTTAGAGGAGGTAGATGATTAGGTAGGTCCTCCGGAAAGACATCTCGAAACTCCTGAAGGATCGACAGGACTTCAGCAGGGCTTTCTATTGTGGAGTTAGATGAAACCTCCATGACTACCAAAGCAACACAATTGAGTCACCAACAAGCGTATGCTCAAACTCCGTAGGACTAATGATATGCAATCCCTTTCGTTCCACACTCTTCTTCGTTTCCAATAAGCCAACAAGCTTTGGGGGCAATAGGTTAAGGTGAATCTTTTTTCCAGTAAACACGAAGGAGCAGGAATTGGATCAACCATAGATGGTTACATCTAGGTCAAATAACCAAGGTCGTCCCAAAATGATGTGCCCGACAGCCATTGAAATGACGTCACACCATATATGATCCTTATACTAAGGAACTGGATAGGGAATAAACAATGATCCTTGACAGCTATAGAAGAGGTATCAACCCAATAGATGCTGTATGGCTGAGGGTGAAGAACTGGCTTCGACCCTAGACGGGATACAGTAGCCATCGAAACCACATTAATGCAGCTGCCACTATCTACGATAACTTTACAGTCCTTGTTATTAATCTTGATGTGTGGAAGATGGCATGATGGCTCCAATCATCGGCATCCCTAGGCTGAGTAAGAGTGCAACGGACGATACCGACTCTAGGCGTATGTGGGATAAGGGGACTAGCCTGAATACAACCTAAGAAGGTATCTTCACTATCCTCCAAGTCATCAAACTCTTCTAACTTAAGCTCATAAACCTGGTCCTCTAGTGGCTCGTTGACTATACCTTCACGCTCTTCCATAACTAGGGCTCGACTAGGATATTTAGAAGAAATGTGACCAAAACCCTTACAATTGAAGTATTGCAAACGGGAGGACGCCCTTGAAACCTCAGAACATTTACCTTTACTATCCGATGCAGGGATAGCATTAGAAGGAGGAGGTCCTAGAATAGACTTAAAAGATGGAGTGGATGCAGAAGAGATTGAAGTGTGGGTGTCACTACGAGTTCTATACGGTGTCCTAGTCACTAACTCGTAATCCCGAACGAAAGAGTAGGCGTGGTCAAGAGTTGTGACGCCTCTAAGGACAAGCTCACGCCTAAGATCATTTCTTAGGCCTTGCCTAAATCTACTCAAGGCCGTGATCTCATCCTCAACAACTTGACATCTCATTCGAAACTCGTCAAACTGAGCAACGTATTCGGTCACAGGTCGATTGCCTTGCGTAAGTGCATTCCATTAATCCAACAAGTTATATTTTTCTTGAAGGTGACGCTTCATTTCATCCCAACTCCCAACAGGGGGAGCATGATGCCTCTCTAGAAGATCCTCAACACTTTCCCAAAAGAGTTAAGCAGTGCCAATTAAGCAAATTGTACCCTCCGATCTTCCGGGACCCCACACCAGGCAAAGAAGCGATCCATATCCCTAAATCATTGATTGAATACACTAGGATTTAGACAATCATACGCTCCTCGTGGCAAGGGGGAGATAGTGTACCATGACGGTGATATTCCCGCTCTCGTCCACGAGCCTAATTTCCTTCCCTACGATCATGTCGAGTGTGGTGTCGACCACTATGTGGACGACGATGAGATCTATTAATGGAAACTTTAGAGTTCTCAGCTTCAATCGAATATGGGGTTGGATCAAGAGTGTTCAACCTAGCGGCTAGGGCTCTATTCTCCTCACGGGTAATGGCTACCTCAATTTGGACAGCCGTTAATTGATTTTGTAATCGTGCCAACTATCGGGTGAGGGCATCAATTTGGGATGGGTCCATGGCAAGGGTACTAGAACTAGAGTCAGTAACGCAACCACTACGCAATTGCATACACGGTAACACAAGCTAAATGAAGTGCACTACTGAGATCAACAACCAACGAGTGCCAACAAGGGAAATAGTGATTGAATTTTATCTATTGTTATTATTATTTTTTTTCTTTGATTAACTAAAAAAAATTAGGGTTACGTAAGGTCCGATATTTAGCGAGCTAATAATACTAATGCAAATAAAATAAAAAGCAAAGGTACAAATGATAGGCCTAGTCACGTGGGATAAGCGGGTGAACAATGGAAGTTAGTTCGCGAATTCTAATCAAGTAAGTTTAAGGCTAAAATTATCAAAATATTAGCAACACAAAGAATTGATACAATTCTAAATAAAGCAGCAATGTCAACTAAAAATAGATAGGAGCAGTGACTCCCTAAGTTCAGTTGGTCTGAGTTGCCACTTGTGGAGTTCAGTCCAGCTTGTGTCTTATGCTCCAGTGTCAAATGTCTCCACTTTCTGAAACTACTCCTAAGCTTTGAACAATTGAGTGAGGCGACAAGACCAATCCAAACGTCGACTCTAGCTGCTCTCGAATCTGGTTGTGGCTGGGAGTATTTTTTTTTTGATGCCTCGGTAATTTAAAAATTGCTCCTCCTTGTCTTCAGTGGCTGTGGTGGAAGTGTATGGGAAGATTATACGGTGGTGGTAGGTTGCGTGATTATCTGTAGATTACTGACAGAAATGGGTCGATGGTTGCTTTGGGTGATTAATGGATGGTGGACAACGGCTCTGGGGATGCGTGCGTGTGTGGTACGAATTTACTGTAGTTGGTGGCTTATGGTAGTGATCAAAGAGAGAGGGTTCGCGGCGCTCGTTGTCGAGACCACAGGAGAGAGTTGAACGTGTGATGTGTGTGTAGAGAAGAAACCGAGATTGTGGCTGGTTGAGGCAAAGATGGCATGCACCGGTGATTCTAGCAAAGGAAGGTGGCGTCGTCGGCGTTGGTGTCGTTAGCGGGAGTAATGGCAGGTTGGGTACCGACGAGGAGCGGGGCGCCAGTGCCATGGAGAGTCCAACTTCTGGGATATTGAGGGGAAGATAGAACGGCGTCTGGGATATTGGGTTTTGGAAGACAGGTTAGAGTGGGGGTGGATTGGGTCTTGAGTATATGGGTTTAAGAGTTATTGGTTAGGTTCAGGAAGATGGGTTAGAGTGGATTGCATTTGTGAGTGGAATTGGGCTGGTTATCATGGATTGGGCCGACGATGTTTTAATAAATGTGGGTATATGTATGCTTATGGGGCTTAGGTTGGCAAGAGTTGGACTGGTTTTGTATGTGAGCCAATTGTGGGTAGGGTTTGAGGGTTGAAGTTTATGGAATAGCAATGTGGTTCATCAAGCAGCAGTCGCAAACGAAATTTTTTTCCGAGTTTGAACAGTAACTCTTTTTTTTTCAACTAAGAAAGAAAATGCTGCTGTTACCACAAAATATTTTCGCTTCTGCTATTCAACATGAAGAATTTTTGGGAAAAAAAGATGGGACGAAATTTTGGATTGTGGAGAAAGAAATTACCCAATGTTTGGCTCTGATATCAAATTTGATGCAGGACCAACTGAAACAATTAATTGAGATGAAAATAGATCTATGGGGGGAGGGAATAAAAGAAAAGAACGGGGAAGAAGAAGATTCAATAAAAGGAAAAAAGAAAATTGGAAGAGGGGAGTTTGCCATAAGCCACCAAAAGTATTATTCAATCGTCAATTGAAAAATTAAAATGCAAAATAGGTTTAAATAGTAAAACAAACCCTAACGAGATTGGACCGAGCCCATACAAGTCCAATTCACTAAATAATAGTCCAAGAAAATAAATAAAGCTTAAATAGAAAATAAAATAAATAAATATCCGATGTCCTCATCAAAAGGCCTGTAACCATTTCCTCACGAGACAATCCTTCATAGATGCAATTTATCATGATGATGAATCTGTGGAGGATTTCCAAGGACCAAGTGGACACACTCTTCTTCATCCTTTCTTCCTCCCAACATCATCACAACAATCATCTCTCTCTTTGAAATTCAAGTAATAATTTGACTGATGTAACGTATATATAGACACATATTCCAGTAAAACCAATAATGTCAAGATTTCTGCCATCATCTAACAAAATTGTAAAAATTATCAAGACCCATTGTGCAGCTTTAGAGATAATAGTCACAGAATTGCAATCCACAACTAACAGGCACCTATTACATTCCTAGTTGATGCCAGATTGTGTTCCTCCAGTTGTCTCCATAATCCACACACTATCAAATGTCCTGAACAATAATATAACAATGATGCTAGAGCAGCGGGAAAGCAACAGCAAGTTAAGTTAGGACTGGTTAGCAAAACTAGATAACGGAAAAGATGGACTGGCTATTTGGAATCCTTCGGATATTAAAGGTAAACTTCTTGGTTAGAGAGACTTGATCACGAGCAACTTCCTTACGTGCGATTTAAAATTTAGTTTATTCTCTATTTTTCAAATTAATATAGTCATCTTGGAAAGGTACTTGCAAATTTGTAATTGACTCAAATAACAATTTTCGAAAATTGCCCCCAAAATTTGTGTGAATTATCAACTGCTTGGTTTCTATTTATAAGGTTTTCCCGTATCTCTCTCTTGGGGTGGCAGGGGGCTGATAGTATATGATTTATTCCAAGGCAAGAATTCAAGAATCCCTTAACCAAAATCAAGGAACTATTCATATGTTATCGAGAAGAAGAAAAAGCCTTATTTTTTCCATTGTACAGCGAACTATTAAAAAAATCATAGGATTTGACTCCCGGGCTTAGGAATTTTTATATAACCTAAGCGACACAATAAAAGCTTTTTCAACTATACATCTTACTACTGGACACTTACCTAGCCAAAGCTTAGATCCGGCTCTACCCAAACTTTTATATTACCATAATTCCATACCCGATCTTAAAGATGCATATAGAATTCTACAAAAAGCCTTATTCAATGAAAGATCATAGTGTTTTTCCTTAGAGATGGAAAATTCGCCCATCCGGTTTTATCAACTATAGACCAGTAAGAAAGCACAAGTCACATTGTTTACCAATCCAGTACCTTCAAAGGAACGCCATTAACTTCCATGTCAACATACAACATCACCTGGAAAAAGAAGCATAAAACTTCAATGTTCATGTTGAGAAACAGCAAAGATAAAAGTCAAGCTAGCATTTGTACATACCACCCTTCCAAAAGCTTCAGGATTGTATTCTAGAGCAGCAGCCCAGTTCTCATCAATTCCTTTCTGCAATACAAAATGGCAATTCATGAAACCACGGAAATATTTCACAGTGAACATAATTAAAAAGGATAGCTCTGTGTG